CACCGTTCTTGTCGATCAGAAAATCAAAATATCAGCGTGATATGGCCTCGAAGATGACGCAGTTATGTTGTTTGATTCGTACTTCACATTCGAGTCGAAGCTTGGCTGGCACAGGTTATTTCTTACGATGGAATCGACGAGGGAAATTCAAACACTAGTTGTAGTGTTTGAATTGTTGGAAGAAATGGTCGCATGGGGATGTAGGAATGGTAGGTTTAACGAACAATTTCAAATTTTGCCCCTTGAATTGAAAGTGAAGTTCATTTGAATGCTTTCGTATGTATTTTTGACGGTTTTAGATCTACCTGCTCGATTTATATCTGCTACGCTCCATGTTGACAAGCGGTGTATGACATTTGCAGACTGCAGACCGCAGACTGCAGACCGCAGACTGCAGACTGCAGACTGCAGACTGCAGATCGCAGACTGCATGAGGCAGCAAGACTGTAAATTGAATGAAACTAAAAATATCGTAGTCAAGGTGACGTCATCATCAACATTACCTTGTTCAGAGAAGTACATGTAAGGCCTAGAAGCTTTTTCACGCAAATTACACCGACCTGATTCCTGAAGGAGTTGTTGGCCGTTCGTCTCGTATCGAATTAGAGCAGAATAATGTCTGCCGATGTCACAAACTGGCCCATGAATCCATAGCAACAGGCTAGCAATTTAGCCTGCACCACAGACGAAACTAAACTCTGGTTATATAAGTCTGTCTGTGAAACAGTGCCGGAATCCTTATTCTACCGGGGCCCCAACTGTGTACTAGGATTTGAGCATGAGCAATTATGATTGGCCTGTTAAAAAAGCCATTGTTGATTTGCCTATTTAGAAATTCAAAATGCACTTCCGGTAATTCGTCGAGTCCAGGTAGGAACTGTTCGGTTTAGATTGTCTGGCACATCCTTAAATACTGCTAAGATGAAATACGTCATTTAAAAGGTGTTAAATGTCTGTGATCTATCCTAGTTGTTTTTGTAGACGTAACTGTAGTGAGGACGAAGTGCTCGTAATCTAAACGCTTTTTTTTTTACAGAAGACTATCATTTACACAGGCATTAATGGGCATTGCTACTTGTCATTATCAATTCACAATAATCAAAGAAGAATAAAGAATCAACACAATTAGTGATATGCCGGGTGAGTCAATAAAAAGTCGCATCGGTGAAGAATAGCCAACAGCATCTTGGAAATGAGGCCAATGTAACTTTGCGCAAAAACATCAACCTTGTTCCCAGGCTACTTTCTCACTTTCACGCGATGTTACATTTTTGATGGTGTCACCTTTATTAGGAAAATTTTTGGTGTCTTTTAATTTACAATCTGCAATCTGTGGTCTGCAGTCTGCGGTCTGCGGTCTGCGGTCTGCGGTCTGCGGTCTGCAGTCTGCAGTCTGCAGTCTGCGGTCTGCGGTCTGCAGTCTGCAGTCTGCAGTCGGTAGTCTGCGGTCTGCAGTCTGCAGTCTGCAGTCTGCGGTCTGCAAATGTCATACACCGGTTGACAAGTCCCTCAAAATGGCGGCAAAACTTGAAGATTGCCGAAAATTAGGTAAGTTCACGGAGTTATAAAGGCTTAGAAAAGGTCTGGCCGCAAAGTTTTTTTCGGTAGTTACCTTTTCTATGGCACCTACTTCCTAGCTATATTAGTTAGATCAGTTAAGAACGCCTCACTTTTTCAAAAATGTACCTTGAATTTGATCGGTTTTCGCGTGTGTAACTTAAGGGAACCGATAAGGTGTGGTTCAAGTCTTCCTGTTTGCTCGATTGAAATGTGATGTTCACGAAAGTCGCCCTCGATGGATAAGATAGAGTTGATATACATGTCTCTGGTATTTGTTTTTTTGCTGAGTCCCGTAGCCTTCGCTCGAGTGAAATTTAATTTCCGTAAAACTCTGAAAAATAAAGAGATCCGATCAAACGGATTGTGGTTTTAGTATAGGTACATGAATGTCTTACAACACACAAGAAATGAGCTAAATCAGTGTCTCAAGAAAAATCGACCGGACCGCCCTTACAGAGGCACTCTCTTAAGGTTTGCTTCCGTCGTGAACATTTACGTAATAACCCCTTAAAAATCATCCCTGACAAATGTTTTCCTTTCAGTTTTGATGAAAAGGAAAAATGGCATTTTTTCCTGGTTGAGGAAGACTTTGTCTATGAACACTTGTGTTTTTTCTTTGCAGATTACGCGGAAGCGGTAAAGTTTTTCAAGTCCGTAGATAACTGAAACTCAAAAGGAATGGTTTTCCTTGTTACGTTTGTTCACTTTTTGTATATTTCTTCATAATTCACGCTTATAAGCAGACTTCTGTCATATTGTAGGGGAGAATACTTTCGAGTTCTGCTGAAACCGAATGGACTGAGTAGGGTGAACAATCACGTGACTCAACGAACACTTTCCAAATGATGATGAGCGATCCCGTGGCAATACGAACTTTTCATTTTAACTGTAACCTACCGTTCAAATGAAATTTTGTACGCGGTAATCGACCAGTCAAAAGTTGAATTGAAGCGTGCGGCCGGTGTTAAGCGTGGGAAACGCACCCTAATTAGACAACTGCGTTATTCACGATTGTTTTGCGTTTGCCTCTGACTGGCTTAGAAAAACGTGCTTGGACAAAGTGCAAAGGGACAATACACGACTAACAAGATTTCTTTTTGTAATTCGTTACAAAGCTCATTAAAGCAGCAGGAAAAAGGCAGCTGTGATGGTTAAACAGGTTATGTCGGGTTGAAACTGGCGTTAGCGACCATTTGGTCTCGATTTACAGCGTCTTAATAGGCATCTTTCAGCTACAGGTTAGTTCCGCCGTGTGTATTTATATCTTTGGAGAAATCAGCTATTAAAATAATTGCGATACCGTAAATGACCTAAAAAACGCCCGGGGCGTCTATTTAATTTTAGGTGTTCAAGCGAAGGGCGTTTAATAGATAGAAGGCGTTTAAAAGAGAGAGGCGTTTATTCTCATGACAGTAACAAGCTCAACAAAACTAAAATGCTTTCGGCGAAAACATCAAGAGAGTTTTAAAACAGCGGAATATCTACTCCATCTTGACTCCATCCATTGATACTTCTAGGTCTTCTAGAGATCCGAGTCGCCCTTTCAAATGGCCAACATTGATGTCAGAATCCTCGCTCATTGTTATTGTGTTGCCATCGTTAATTAATTATTGTAATTATTGTATTTAAATCTAATTTCATGAAGTCCAGTGGCGCAGTTTATGAAGCTAGTTTATGCACGTTTGTATTAAGATTTGACTGAGACACTGATCTGACCTCGTATGAGGTTTGATATAAGCTTAAGCTTACAGAACTTTAAAAAGCCTTTAGCCGATATTAATTCACCGTAAATAGAAAGAAAAAACTTTCCGAAGAATATTTAGTTATAATTTTGGCAGTAGAAAGAAAGCTTTGAACGATTTTCTTGTCGTGAGTTCATCTTTGAAAACAGCCAACACCGGGAAACCGGTGGCTCAAAACATGAACTTTAAGCTTACTAGTAAAGACTTGAGGATTCTTAGACAGCCTTAAATACTCATTTGTTTTCGTGAATGAAAATAAAATTGTTGTCTCTGTAGATGTTCTATCGAATTATTTTTCTTTATTGTTTTTTGGTAGTCTCAAAAGTGTAATTTTCATCGCTTTGCCGTTTGTTTTCAGCCGTTCATAAACATCGCTTGCAGGAGTACTCAAAATGCCAAGCGTATCAAACGCTTTTTAAGATTACACATGGTTATAAAACCGTTAATAAAAAATAGACTCAATAAATTCTTTATCACGTTGAAGCGTAAGTCTTTTAAAATTTCTTCGCAAATTTGGCGCTTGTCAAAAGTTAGAACCGGCCGGCCGTATAGGTGATTTTGGAGCTTTTTTGAACGGTTTCGCTAATTAAAAGTCCACGCGTGCTTCGATGGTCCTGAATATTGAATGAATGCTATTTGTCTTGAAAAATTGTGAAATGCTGCACTTTGTACGAGGTCTGTATGATAAAAACAGCGCCTCATAGTACTCTTTCTCCTCAGATGTGGTGTATAAAAAAAATAAAAGATTGGTTTACACGCACCCAGATTTATTGGCAAGAATTTGTAAACTTGTCGAACGCAAAAAAATTCGGTCTGATTTGTTTTCCAAGAATTTGTTTTCCACGCCTTATCTACTGTGATCAAGAGCCATCATTGCTCTTAAATGTGGCCGAAGACTATTTTTTGGGTGTACGTATAAGGCTATATCAACTCGATACAAAATTTGTTTCACTCCAAAATCACTTAGCTTTTCCCTCAAAAGTCACATGAATGTGCCCTTAAGTTAACTGATTTGTGGAATACAAAATTATTGTTTGATTTAAGTTATAAATTTATCAATGAGAGCTTCGCTTTTAGCTGTGGCTAAATATATATATATTAGATAAGAGGCGTTTATTTGGAAGTGGGCGTTTATTAGGTCATTTACGGCACCAAACATTATTGAGATTCTCAAAAAAACTAAATTAACGGTTTCCTTTGACTGTTTCCTTAGAAATAGAAGCTATTCCCTTTACTAGAACCCAAGGCCTTCCTCAACCTTATGGGCCTTTGCTCCTATTAAACAACGTCAGCCTCCAATAGTAAACTATATGCCTACAACACGACAATGGGAAATTCAAAATTCAATGTTTGGGACGCCAGTAGATTGTTTTTTTTTTCTCCGACTTTTAAGGGCTCAAAGCATGGTTCGAGTTATCGAGGGTAAAATTATATAGAAATGATCTGAGGGGAAACAAAAACTACTTCGAGTTAGAGGGAGGTTCGAGTTATCGAGGGTTCGAGTTACCGAGGGTAAAATTACAGTAACTGTATGACCGAAATCCAGGGGAAATCCATTTTGGTTCGAGTTAGCGAGAGGATCGAGTTAGCGAGGGTTCGAAATATCGGGAGTCAACTGTTGTATTGATACTCTTGGCAAGAGTCAAACTTCAAGGCAAACATGCCAACAACAAAATATTTTACTGCATGACAAAATTCCTCAAAACAGTTAAAACTGACCAACTGAATACTTCACAACATTTGGTAACACTAGTGCTACTTAAAGGCGTCAATTTTAGTCCTTATAAATCGTTATTGAAGGATAACTTACGGCCTTTTTACAAATGTACCTCTTTTTGTTTTGGCACTTTCCATCGCGCCAATGCCCGTCATAATAGTTTCCAGACTCAAATGTCCCTTTTCTTATTTGCCCGCAATTCAAGTTCTGAGCATTCGGCTTGCCATCTCTCCAGTTTTCATACCCATTTAGCTGAGTTCCGTCACTCCATTGCCAGAAACCTGTCCCGAATTTAAATAGTCCAATCCAGTAGGCTGTAGGTCTCTCTGCCAACAATTCTCTTCTAATAAAATCATTTTCTTCAGGAGATTCTATCTTTACCAACCTGGCATACCATTTATTTTTGCATTCGTTGCTGGCGTTTTCCCAACTCAATTTAGGTGACGTAAAGGATTTATAACACGACTTCCCGCGGCCAATCCATTCGGGTTCACAAGCTGCGTGAAGAAAAAATATATTATGATAAAGCCTATTAAATTGACGTAAATGTCCTAGAACCCGGGGTGGTCAATCGATAACAATCGTTATCGATAAAAATCGGTAGCAATCAAGTGATTTTTATCGAAGGGAAATCGGTGAACTAAATTGTTGTGTCAAATCGATATTATCGATTTTTCATTATTTTAACGATAACGGGAGTCCGCTATTGTTGTCCTCTGCCATGAGTTAGATAGTACAGCTGAGAAATCAGATCCACGAGGAATAACAGATCAAAAAACATGAAAATGAGAAATGTGGAAACTATTACACAAACAAGTTTCTATCTAAAACTCTTCGTTTTGTACATGATAACAACAACGGTTCAGTTTTTTATATAATCCCATTCAGTTCTCGCAGGCAGTATTACGACGAATACAACCTTAGTAAACATTTCCTAGCCTGAATTTCAGACATCCCCTCGAGTCGAAGGGATGTCTGAAATTCATTCAAAGATTTCTCCGGATATATTTTTGCCGTTTCCGTTATCAGTCGATGGAAATCACTTGATTACTAACGATTTTTATTGATTTCGATTTTCATCTATTGAAACAAGTGTCGCTATTTTTTTTGTAGTGTTTTTATTTTTTTGTAGTGAAATTTACCAGGTTAATAAGTGCAAAAGACGGGCTTTGTACTTATTAAACTGACTCGACCCAGTTACTTTGAAGCTCGCTGGTATCTCCACCTTTACTTTTATCGTAAGTCTAACATGTAGGATGGATAACATATGGATCAATCTACAATATAGCATAAAATTTCTGGCGATTGGAGTAAATGTCACGTGGTTATAGTGCTACGCCTCTTTGGCAGTGGGTTCGCAACCCCCCCGCCCCCCATCCCCCGAGATGAAAAAAAACTATGTGGTTTATTGGTGTTGAAGTAGAGCAAGAGACGAGTGCACCCCCTCCTGAAAAAAATCCTGGATCCGCCCCTGTTTGGGGTCTGAGTCGAAATTCTGCTGTTGCTGGCATTTTTTCGTGAAAATCTCTCGGCTACGTATAGTGTGCATTAGTTCCTTGCGTTGAACAGAGTTTCACCAAAATCGCACAGACCCAATGCGAGCAATTCAGCAGTTTCCATTTTTTGGTCATAATTTATGTGAAAATGCTAAGCAAACTTTACACGATTATATCTAATAAACTATGAGATTTATCCCTTTATTTTGGGGATCTTTATAACAGATGGGTCCTTGCAAGTCAGCAAAAAGCTTTAGGGCCTTGTAAATGCACGCGATTTCGAGCAATGCAAACATATAGAAATTAAAGTTTTAGCTATTTGTTGACGTTTGTCAGCGTTAAAGAGTCCTCACGAAAAAAGCATTTCCTTAAAAAATCGTAGTTTTCTTTTTTTCCTTCAAACTTTTTCAGGGCCACAATTGATTTACTAACTACCCGGATTCTGAATTTCATGGTCATTGAAAAACTGTGACATTAATAACTGCGTTTGACAGGCTTTGTAGTTAATGATCGTGAAATTTACGATTAATTACTATGTTTGGCAGGCTTTGTAGTTACTAATCGTAAGGTCGTCAATTTCTCCAGAAAAGATAACTCAAAAGCTAAAGGCCACCCTTACTAAATTGAAAAGAAAACAAACTCAAACTCATTTCTTGAAGGTGCTTGTTTCCACAAAAATACATCGCAAAAATCTTTTCGAGACGTCAAAGTTTCCATTCAGTGTCTTTTTTGATCGATTTTTTGTCTACAAAAGCTGGTTTCTTTCGCTCTTTTTTCCCGATAAACAGACATCGCAAGCAGGTGGCCTCGGTGAGTCGTACGTTTGTGCACGAAATTATGTTCATAGGATAAGCGAGTGAAATTTTAATCCACATTTTTCCGGAATTCAAATTACTCTTCCATTCAGAAAGAGAAATTTGGAAAGAGACATCTTAATCCTTCCCAAATGTAACGAAAATGAATTTGAGCAGAAAAATTCTCTATAGCAATCTTTTTCTGGCTTAAATATCGATATAATTTCAGCGCGCTGTTGGTAACTTGCCTTGCCGTGAGAAATTTTATTATCGATGTTAACCACATTCCTGGACAAAATAATGGTTTTCAATTTTAGTTTAATAAAAAGCTTTCAAGTCGGCCGGTGTTCAGATTGAAGCATCAACAAATTGTATTTTGACATTCAGCCAGAAAAAACGAAAATGGACCGTCTTAAATCTTTTTCACAACACGGGTGAGATACCGTAAAATTCCGAAAATAAGCCCCGGGCCTTATATTTTTCAAAGGCCCTTTTTGAGGTGCTTATTTTTGGAGGGGCTTATATTCGGAGGGGCTTATGTAAGGAGGGAAATTTGCGTTTCAAAAATCGATTAGGCTAGCTTGTAGTGGGAAAGAAATTTATCATTTTTGCTTTGTTTTACTTTGTATTCAAAGGCAAATTCCAAGTACAAGCCCCGGTGGGTTATCACCAAGCTTGGTAAAGAAAATTTTCGTGCTCAGCGTATAAGTGTGTTTCCCAACTTTTCCTTGGAATTTGTCGACAGAAGTTCTCTCTGGTGTCAATGGACTCATTCTGGGATCAATTTAATAAAACTTTTACAAGTGTAATTTATTTAATTAGTGTAAATTATGTAATTTTGGAGTCTGAAAACAATAGCTACACTTGTAAATTACACTCGTAAAAGTGTTATTTAATTGACTCCTGGTCCACCTAACCCTAGTTAATCAGGGCAAGTCGAAGCAAAGGCAAAGAAAATTACCCACCCGGTGGAGAAGGTTGGGTTGTTGAAGCTGGTGGAGTCGTAGAAACTGCTGTTGTTGGTGTCACTGTAGCTTTCGATAATAATGGATCTGTCATGACAAATTAAATAGAACAGCTGATTACCTCCTCCGTTAAAATTTTCAAGGTAATAATAGTGACCAGGAGCCCATCAAATGGAGCCTCCATCTCCATTAATTTCTTGAGTCAACCCTTTCCCGAGTAGATTTATAAATAGAACGGCTAGTTTCCCGCGAAAAGTGTCATATTTCCGTGAGTCTCGTATGTCACCGTGAAAAAATAAAATTGGATGAAGTCGAACTCAGAAGCCCGTCTTTCGACCGTTTTCCTTTATTCCTTTACGTCCGTTTTTACAATTTTACAGCCGCTGGGATCTGGGTATCATGAAATAAAAGTTAATGAATTACCCGACTGAGACTGAGCATGAAGCGATGGGACAAAGGCAGCGAACTGAGGATCACGGAAAGGTTATCTTTGGGAGTGTTTTTTTTTTTGCCGTCATACATCCCACATTTAAGCATGCACCTTGAAAAGAGTCGACGATTAAACGTTCTGTGGACGACTTGAAACTTTTCGATGACCAGCGACGAAAAAGTGCCAGGATCATATGATTTTTGTCATCACCGAGGAGTGGATTTCGCCAGTTAAGCACCGCGTGCAAAAGCGATGACCTAAGTAGCAAGTAACGAGGAATGCTTCAGTTCCGAAATTTCAGAAATTGCAGTCTTCCTTTACAACTGACTTGTATCACCATGAGAGTTGCCTGATAAAACAAGCGCTTGAAAATTTGAACAGAAGACAACAGTTGCTCGACCGTGAAGTTAACTCAACCGTAATTTGCTAACGGAGGAATTTGTGACATCGCGCTCCAGTCCAAAGACCCACTTATCTCAAGAAAAACAAAATGGATTGTATCTGCACCAAAAGAATTATGACTGACTAACAGGACAATTTTCAGCAGTTAATGTAGAAGTTTAGGCTCAATTCCTTCCTTCGAATTCGCATCTGTAGATCACTTTTTTGCGAGAAAACAATGGCTGGGCCCGGCGTCACAAAACATAGCAGGGAATCGTCACACTAGCTGACGGACAAAACAACCACAAGGACTACAAGTATTTATTCAGATAAACGCAGTTCCGAAAAAAAAACCTAGAAATTTGACCAAAAGTAAGATTAACATAGTCAGAGTGTAAAACTTTCCACAGTATAATCTACCCGCTAGAAAGAAAAAAAGGAAAATCTCTGAGGGATGAAAACGCTTATTATAAAGTCACGTTTCACTAGCTCATGATTGTGTTTGGCCTGTCAGCACCGGATTTCCTGCTGTTTGATTAAGTACAACAGCAGTGTCATTTCGTGGTTGTGGTTGGCTCTTCCCACCGTCGGCGCGCGAAGTCTCCCCTGGGAACCGTTCTAATTATAAATCTACTCGGGAAAGGGTTGACTCCAAGGGCTTGTATGGGAGATGGAGGCTCCATTTGATGGGCTCCTGTAGTGACAAAATTACCCACCCGGTGGAGAAGGCTGGGTTGTTGAAGCTGGTAAAGCTGTGGAAACTGCTGCTGTTGGTGTCACTGTAGCTTTCGATAATGATGGATCTGTTTATGACATTTTAAATAGGACAGTTGATTACTTCCTTCGTTAAAATATTCACGGAAATATCACTGACACCAGTTGCTTGAAAATTTATGTCCCGTATTTTCTCATTGTTTTTTTTCTCCTCTCCAATACCTGACTGTCCCAGAATACTGAGCCCTATGCATATTTACGTTAGACGAGCAAATTTCACCACCAAGCCTTGTTTTGAAAGCGAAAGTTGCGAAATTTAACCTAATTCTGCTAATTGAGTTACCTAAATAGTTGTTTTGAAAAGCCTATGAACACTTATACACAAAGTGTGCTAAAAGTGAAATTTATTTGAAATCCTGCAGGGATTTTTAGTCTACTTCAGATTTATTCCCAGTTCTTTAGGATAAATTCAGGAATACGAATTAGCACCTCAGTTCTTGCCAATCCTCTATGACAACATAAAAAGGAATTTTGTGTAGCATAGTCTTTGGCGCATATTTGAGATTGTGTGTACTCCATTTTGTGCAATCAGCAGCAAGTACTATCTATCAGCACATTAGATGTATAAAAGGACAGGTTCACAGTTAAGCGCATGCTTATTAATTAAATAACTTTTTTTCTAATTTATTATTAATTCTATCGGTTAATAATCCCACGCACATGTATCTCAGCGATCTCAGGGTGTATTTCAAAGTAGAAGTGTATTTCAGAGTAACCTGAAGTAGGATGGAGGAGTACTAAAATCGCAGATAAAATGCCAACAATACCAACGTTGAATTTATTGTTGACCGGAAGGTTTTATTCCATGGTTGATTAGTTTAAAGCTATTTTCAAATATTTAAGTTGATCAAGTGCAAATGACTGCCAGGGAGTGTGCATATTGATTCTTTGACAACATTATAACATGATCATATTGCGTGCATAGACCATACAGCATGACCCGGAAAAAAAACAGCATTTTGATAAATGATCATGCGCAGAACCGTGAACCTGTCCCTTTAAGTGAACATGTATCTCATAATAAATCGAACGGTCGCTGAGATAAAACATATTCTAAATACATTCTAGAAAAAAAGCCATCCAATCACTAACCTATTAAAGAAGGCTCGGTTAATAATGAAGATGTCACTGATGAGGATGAAGTAGTGACGTCTGTTGCTAAAAGTGCTTTTAGAGGAAACAAAATACTTCTGATCAAGAGTTCAAAAGGAGTCACACATTTCAGTCAAAGTAATCAATTAAAACTATAAGAACAATTAGCACACCTTTAAGCCATAAACAGATGATGTGAAGAGTAAAGAAAAAGACAAGGGAGCAAAACCGAGACAAAAACAAAGCAACTTAAAATTTGACATAAATTTAACTCTGGTAAAATTCCAGTTAGTGTCAGTATCCTACCTTGACAATTTGTACCGAGTTTGCAAATGCAGTAGAATGATCCAGGGGTATTAACACAATTGGACACATCACCACAGTTATGTAATCTGTCCTTGCATTCGTCGATGTCTGCGTGGATAAATATAAGGGGAAAAATGCTAAAACGAATACCATACTTTAACAATTAAAGACGGTTCAAATCAGATACGTTCATATGTTTAAGCGGGTCTAAGGCTTAATTAATTAAATGACAGTATAGGAGATCAACCAAAACAATTACCCTAAAAGGGCCAGGACCACTTCAAGTAGGGTACGTCAGATGTGCTAACAATTAGTGAGCTAACACACAACATAGAAATAACGCAACCTGAAGAGCCATACCTTTGTCGCACTTTTCTCCTTTGAAACCGCCAACGCAAACACATCGGTAGCGTTTAGCTGTGAAGCCTACCTGGCAGATGAAGTTCTGTCCAGGGCATGGGCTCCTGTGACAAAAGTTCTGCTGGAAAACATGAAAAATACTTAAATTACTTTAATACATCTTGTTCTTCTTCTTTTTTTTTTCTTTTAAATAGATACTCCGTGAATGCATCATAAAATTATTTAAAAGGGAATGCAAGTTATTTCCTTTAATTCCTTGTTTTGCGTTTACATACTAAGCTCTCTTTCCGGAATGTCAAAATTATATACTGGATTACCCTTCAATGAAACGAAGTTCTTGCTAACCTCTGAACGTTTGTGGCTTGCGTTAGTCATCATCCGTCCCAGCTTTATCGTAAAATATAAACGAATGAAATTCGCGTGTTGCAAACAACATTAAATAATACGAGTATGATAAACTTAGCCATTTTTTTGTCACCAATGACAGGCATGATGATCGTCTTTGGTAAATAAGTTTCTCAAACCTTTGCAGTTAATCAAGATTTATTGCAAAAATATCTGATACTTCAACTGCATAATGAATGTAGCCTGTCCTTTCCTCCAAGCCACTCTGTGATGCTTTTTCATCTGTAATGTCATTTAGCTCACAGGGACGCCATCCTTGATCGTCGGCAGGACCCACATTTATGGACACACAGTTAGGCTCCAAGAAACACTTCACACGGCCGCTCCCCTCATTTGCCACCTCCTCCGTCCTTATAACGTGACCCAGAAGTATTTTGCCCTCTATTGGTCCCTTGAATATTAAAACGCGATTGTATTCTGTGGCAAGAACTGTAGAGAAAAATATATAGAATTAGGCAAAGGCTTTTCAAAGTAGTTTGATGGTGAAATATTTAGAATTTAACGCTTAAAACGAGGTATTGATCCGCTAAATAATTATGTTACGAATTTACTACCAGTTTTCAACTTAACTAGGCTATTCAAAACTTATAGATAAGTCATTTTTATGCATATGTTTTTCAGCGCACTTGAATCGGGACTCTAGGTCTTTGCATTTCGACTCCTTTATTGTTTTTGTCGCGGTTGTTTTAATGATCAGCTTCGCCAGAGGTAGGTGCCCAAACAAAAGCCACAGCTCAGTTGTTCCAAAGAACTTTGCTAGGTGTGTTTTACGAAAGGAGCACCTTTCCCGAACATATTCCTTACTTGGTTGTTTTTTTTTTGTTTTTGTTTTTTGTTTTTTGTTTTTTTTTTTATAGCACAACAATAAAACTATAGCCTCGGTCTGGCATTAACAATCGGTACGAAATGGAAAAAAAAAAAGAGTATAAGAAGTAACTAACAGAACAATAAGGAATATTCCTTATCAGCTAAACGTACTAGACAAATCGATTCTGGGTAGTCAACAACAACACACAGGCTTTCAATTTCTAATTGTCAAAACTAAATTCTTATTGACATCAGACTGTATCTCACGCTCTTGGTCAGTACTAAATTTATAATGTACACGTCCAGGTATTTCTCTTCTTTTAAGCCCCTTTCCTTTGTCTAGTTCGTCAGTGTTTTCCTCCAAGCCTTTTACAGGTACGCACGTTCCTACTACATGGCCTACAATTCAAATATAGCTGTAGCTACGCTTCAGGGAACAAGTTTTTGTCAGTCTAAGTTGCAGCTGATGCATCTAAAATGTCTTAAGCAGCATGTGTTTCACACTGTTTAAGAAGTTGTTTGCCTTTTCAGAAATTCAATTCATTTGTCTCTCGCCTCCTACATACACGAAAAATTAAAACTGTCTGTCTAGGTTTTAGTATTTTATTAACCGCCACGTAAACAGAAAAGGCTCCAAAGTGACTTGGCTTCATGTATATCAAGCGAACGTACTATTTTGAGGAGAAAGCAAGTGAAATGCCGAACTTAAGTTCTCATCTTTTCTCACTTCAAAAAAAAAAAAAAAAAATAGAAGAAGAAAGAGTCATCTCAAACCAGCTCTAAGTTATTACACGTTCATTAACTTCTTAAATTGATGGTTCTTATTTTATATATAATTCTATTTCGAATTTTGAATTTTAAAAATATAAATATAACTATGTAAGCTTTTGTTTTTGTTCCGATGCCATGCCTTGAATCCCATAGCAAAATGCAGTCATTTTTTCCTTCTTTGACCAAGAAATGATTTGTTCCTGTTAAGCTTTCAATTCTACAAATGAAGCACTAAACATGTGGGACTTACCAAATTGCACCAATGTGCCAAGTCCAAGTGTTAGTATCACGGTGAAAATTTCCTTGCTCATAGTAGAGGACATGGTGTCAACTTAGTTTAGCTTTCAAGTTGTAGTCTGTTGTCATCAAACTAGTCGTGTAAAGAAATAGGCTTATTCAAATTTCTCGATATGCGACAATAACCTACTTGAATTCATCAATAAATCATAAGAAGTTGGGAATGATTGCGAAATTGGTCCTTAACTCGACGCGAAAAAAAGAGACAATTTATTATTTTTTATTTATTATAAGCGTTTTTATCATTTCCCGCTTCCATATTTACACCGGATTCTGGGGGAAAATAGCGAATAGCCATCGAATGATTTCTCGCGCTTTTTCATAGTCAGTCTTAAATTTAAATTTAATATAATTTTCATATATTCTCTCCTGAGGCACCTGTTTCACACCTATCACGGAGTCAAATGACATACACTAAAAAGTCAATATTTATCATTGCTCAGGGTTTTATAGGAATATTCATACCTTGTCTATTATGATATCCCCTAGAAACGGTCCCTGTGTAAAGTTAATTCCTCTGCGTGGTACTTTCTTGTCTTCTTCCAAACAATCCTAAAATTTTGTTTTACGACTTTGTTGTTAATCATTAATCATTAATCATTAACTCCCATAATAGGATAGGAATTGCAGCATTAGCTAACTTTAAAAATTTCCAAAACTGACCTTTGTGATATGTTGTCCAGTCAGTGGTGCTGCCCTTAGCTAGAATAGCCACCAAAAATCCCTTCCCCAGCCGAGAAAGCCAGAAACTCCAGTCTTCCATTCCACATAAATGAAACTCTTTACCAAACGAAAAAAACGACTCTTTTCATCAGACTATAGGCAATAAACCAATAAGTTTTGAAATAATTTGCCTTAAGAAATACAGTCATGGAAAGGATTCCAAGAAACTGACTCAAATTTACCAGATGATAAAATTGTCTTTTTGTCAAGGTTTAACAGCTTCTTTGCTGAATTTAGCCGAGGACTCTCCAGAGACGTATTTATGGAAGAAATTCTGAATCAACAAATAGACTGAATTCTTCATGCAACAATTTGCTACTTTTTTAGGAACAAAATCAGCTTTTTTGGGTACATCTTTTCTAAGCAAACAAACATTTGTCAAATAGTCAAATCTTTCCAGTTTTGCTTATAAAAATTGGAACAAGATGAGCAAATAATTGCATATTTTTCCAAAATCAACATTTTAGAATATCCCACCTTATTTCAGAACGTGTTTAATTACTTCCTTCCCTCAAGAACTGGAAACACACCGGAAATCCGTGTCTTATTTACGTAGATCGCAGCAATTGAATGCAATATGCAATAGCAGTCAACAAGAGAATTGAAGGTAAAGTTGAGAAGTTTCCACGATAACCGCGAGTCTTGACAAAGAAAGTTTGCATGCCTTTGGGCACGTTTTCGTGGCTAGTTTTGCCGAGAAAAAAATACTTATTACACAGTTAAGTTAAAAACACATAATTTTAGTGTATTTATTAGCTGATTTTCAACACAAAAAAATTATATGGATCCTTTTCAACCCTGTGGTTTATTCTTACCATGTTCTTAAGATTTCGCAATTTTCAGCCTGCTATTCGTATAAAATATATTCTTACAGAAAAAAATAAAAGAGTGTACCGTGATAAGACATTCAAGTTTTGTAATTAAGGAAAGGGCGGATGTTACTAAAACGGGGAACGAGGATGGGGAGCGGGGAACGGGGAACGGAAGTCTGGGAACGAGTTGTCAGCGGAAACCTCAATAAAAATCCAAAATGGCCGGTAAGGATCAAGATCCCGGTAAGATCGATGATAGAGAAGCGTCGAAACAATACTTAAGGTCGCTATTTTACTAATGAACTATATGCTCATGAGGTGCTTGAAATAATACGGAGGTAATAATGTCATGACATTTTTAATTCACCTTTTTGCGTTTTACTAAACAACAAAATATGCTCCAACAGCAGTTGAAAGAAGCTACAGTCGGGACAAAAACTCTCAAAGCACAGCCATATTTGGAACTCAAGCGAATCTATACTGGGTCTAACTCACAAAGCAATGAACTACTTTTGCTTGACGCTTTTCGTAGGGTTTTGGCTTAAATACATGCTGAAAGATAA